AATTTCTGTTCACATCTCTCTCCCTCAGTTTTTAACACCAGGCTCAGAGCTATTTTATCACCCAGCCCTTTCTGTTGAGATGTAATAAGTTTGCTTACCTCAACCTCCATCGCTTGGCACTCTTTCTCTGCTGCTTTTAATGCTCCAGGTGAAGCCAAATGAATAGCTTTCTTAAGCTGTTCGAGCTGATCCTTCAGAGGTTTGCATCCCCTTTTCCCACTAGGTGTCGCACCCGAGCTGTCAGCCATTCTCTGAAACACAGACTTACCTCTTCCAATGGCGTTGGTCGACTCCACCTTCTTGGTCTAGGTCACCCAGACACGCTTAACTTTCGGTTTCAGTCTTCGTCTCGCTGTTCTCGCAACCACTGGCTCCTCTTCCCCTGCTCGGTGATACACAAAGTTTAACCCAGCACTTTTAGACGCTGTCCTCGCGTTCTCAAGCGTTGACACTCAATCAAAATTATTCGCCCTCAAAGTGTTAATATATGACACCAGCAACCCTTATGCGCAACGCGCTCACCTCCGTATACTTACCTCTCCAATAGTTCCTCGGATTAGTGTGTTTTCATTTATTTAAACCCATTAACGGCGCTGCGCGTCCCTTATATACTTCACAGCAACACACCCTCAAGGGTCCCTCAACTTGTCCCGTACTAATAAGTCTAAAACCAAGAAATCACCTTTATGACACTATGTCAAAGCTTTCTCCATGTTGCACAGCCTGCCACAGGTTTAACAAAAAAATCGCTGCCCGAGAAGGCTCCCACATATCAAGGTGGTCGTTTTCACAAACTTCCAGCAGACCCTCAAATAAACAAAAACAACGACCCAGGCAGACTTCCAGTTCAGCCTCCTCAATTTCTATGCACACTGAAAACTCCTGTCTCCCCGTGTCCTACACAATTCACCTCCAAATGATCCCCTACAATTGAAATTTCAGTGTGGAATGACGCAGAGATTAACATTTCCTTATTTATTCACTATATGTAACCTGAATTTTCTCTCTCTTCAAATAACAAAGGTTATCTTTACAATTTGTTATTGAACTACTAATTAAGTTGCTTTTTATGGTGTCAATGATAAACTGCCCCTAAAAAGTCCACTTTATTGCGTGCTCATTGAGTTACTCCTATCAAAACTATTTAACAAGTTCAATTTACACATACTCATTAATTTGTCACGCTTATTAGTGGCTCATGGTTGCTTAAAGCCTATGTCTGACTTGACCACAGAGTTAGAGCATCATTCAATCCTCTCCGGATGACCACTCCACTTACTCTGCATCCAGTCAGCTCATGAATTAACAACCCTTGCAGACTGTAACCCTTTTATTTTTTGTTTATGCCTTCAAATCCACCTTAAATCTTCTTTACCTAAACGTTGGTTTTAAACACAAACAATTCTTATATTCTATTTTGAAACGCTGTCACCATTCATATATTTACAATGTTGTTATTTACTAAGCCAGCATTTTAATTGCAGACATTTATCCACATTTGCAAACAATAGTTATAGAGCTGAATGACACACAAACCCGAAAGCATAGTCCTCTCATGCGCTCTGCATCAGCTGCCTCATTTGCATGCACACACACTCTTCATCTAAGAATAGCAGCAGGCAGTCAGTGCATTGCTGACTCGACCCACAGAGATCTTTTTAATACAGAGACGTCTTATATTTACAACTGCACAGATTTTAAACCTTTTAACACCTATCGAATTTCGACAAATTTAACATAACCGTTTTTTGCGATCAATTAACCAGTATCAAGACTTTAACTGTTTCTGGCCTCATTTCTAAAATCCCTAACTCAATTTAAAAGCGTCAACCAACCCAAACTTTGCCTGAAGCTCTATTTTTGGCATTTCACAGCCAAGGCTTACCCCGAAGTGTTAAGTTAAAGTTACACGCCCGAAGACCACTTCTGCTGGCCAAAAAAGCGCAGATACCGTTTCAAACGGTAAGGAGACTCTAACTCCTAGCTTAATTCCGGGATGCCCTGTACCCCACAGCTAAACCACACTGAACTAACCCTCTTCGCCGAGAGGTCAATGTCGCGCGTCCACGACAAGGAGGGAGCGTAACCTCCGGGCTCTGCGCTTCCTAGCAGACTCGAACTGCCGTTCTAGAATAATTTATAATATTTTGAAACAACAATCAACACCCGAAACAAGTGTATAACTGAAGTAGGTGCAACCTAGTGGTCAAATGGAGACTCCAACTCACAAAATGACCGCTCAGGTCCACTCTTATGACCAAATTTGGACTCTAACCAACACAATAACCAATTCCCTACCAAACTACTTGAGACTCTAACTCAATTTCTTCGGGACTTCAACCCAATATTTAAACTTTTTCCTGGCAGACTCAAACTGCTTTAGCAGACTTTACTGCTTTCATTTCTTCTTAGCAGAACTCTAACTGTTTCAACTCATGAAATTTTCATCAAAATCAAAACAGACATCCACCAGTAATTTCAGTGAGTAGACTTAAATTTTATCATGTCCAATTTGGCACACTTTGGAAATAATTCAACAGGTAGTGCCTTACCTTTTGGATAAGCCGGCTTATGCCCACTCACTTCGGCCACTGGACTTCATGTCTGCCCGTCTGACCACCTCGGACCACCGCTCACACCTCCACTTTTTTCCCTTACTCAACCACCGGACGAAGCCCCCAGATGTTAAGATTCAAGAATTGAGAAAGGGTACAAGAGGTGATCGAAAAATAACCACACTGGTTCGGCCGGGTGAAGTCAAACGAAGATTTTAATTCACATGTGGGAAGATCACTGAACACAGCAATTGATCTTCGACTTACTAAAGCACAAACAATTATTTTATAGCATCAGGGTTTATTTACTGACGCCCCTTCATGCGTCACAGATACATTTTATACATAGATCAGATCAACATCATCATGACTTTTCACCTAGAAAATCATCTTCTATTTTCATGGCTAGCCCTTCCTGTCTACCTTTCAGTTCTTGTCTTGTTCCTCTTTCTTGCCGAGACACCAAGAAACGGTTCCTCTTTTACCAAGACAATTTTGCAGTTACAGCCAAACATAACTAACCTCTTCCTCTAAATAAATCTAATTTAAAGTGTGTGTGTGTGTGTGTGTTGACCTCACATGCTCTTTGTGTCACCTCTTCACCTACTGTCTGTGTCTCGTCCTCAAATGCTCTTTCTCAATTCACCTGTTGCACTTCTGACCTTTTACCAGGCCAGAAGCTCACTAAGACTATGTGTATGTCTTCTACTAAATAAATGTTTTAACCAAGAACCTCTACTAAAACCTTAATACAAGAATATGAACATATAAAAGATAATAAAATAAACTGATATAAGTGTTTTGTAAGCCTGTATTGCAATTCCTTCTATGTTCTAGTTTTCCCTCAGCATGTATCACCTGAACAGTCACGTCAGTGAAGCTTACGACCTTTAAAGAACCTGAACATCAACTCAAATAAGCTCAGATATGCAATATGTATAAAATAATTATAACTGCCCCTGAAATACAAAGTTAACATCATCATAAACATCTTAAGGCCATCTTAAAGCTATCTGTTATATTGTTAAAGCAATGCTCATACTGCAGATTATATTATGCTGGTAAAATACTTTTTGTTTATCCCCACACTACACACCTGTCTAAGAAGGAAGTAACCTGAGTTGTTGCTTAGCGTATTGTGGCAGACTGGGTTTGAGCAGCACATGGCTTTTGTTTGTATACAACTGCATGTGAGCTTAGGCTGCTCTCAATTAAGATTATTTCTTCTGAAAGTCATAAATCCCTGCAGCTCAAGAACTTTGGATACGGACCCAAGATCTCTGGGAGTATCCCCAAAGCATCAGAGTTTTCCACATTAATGCACATGGAACAACAGTAGTACCCTAAGCCTTTCCACAAAGTCATAGTTTTGCTGCCATTTGGAGCACACCAGCTTTAAAGCAAGGAAGAACACACAGAACCTTCATGGTTGTTGTGATGGAGGACATGCAGAAGGGCGATGTGACAGTGGAGGATGGGTGAGATGGAGGCAGATGTCCCACTATGTTGATTCCTAAATGGAGTGGCTGGGAAAAAAAGCTGCCGTTTCATTACCTGCGTGAAGTAACTACAATATGGCAACACACAGATGTTACAGATGGTTCTGAAATCCCCAAAATAATAAAGAAGTTTTACAGACATTCGGACTTGCTTAAAGTGAACATTTCACTTCTCAAATGTTGCAGTGTGGAAGGGAAACATCTCCAAACATTTATGTAATATAGCCAAAAAATAACTGAATGAAATAACTGTCCATACTTCCCAATCATTACATATTAACTATGCTTCTTTAATACATCCCAGCCTTCATTTATCAGAAGCCAAAATTGGCTTTTGTGTAGGTCTAAGTCCAACAATCAGAGACTCATAGTGGATCATCTGGTTGAGGCACCTTGACCTTAACAGTATTTCTTCATCTTACGGTATGTTATATATTCCTTAATACTTATGATACTCTGATGATGAGCAGGAATGTGAACCGTGAGACCAGTTGAAAATCTACTGCTATTGTCTGTTGTCAACTTTTGTAAAAGGTGATTTGATTTACATCTACATTATTTACAAAATATTGAGGTAAACTAGGTTATATGCTTTAAAAAAATGTAATTTTTAAAAAAACAGACATTGTGTCTTTGTTAGTAAAGCACAGAAATGAGTTGGTTTTTTTTTATTGCTGTCTTATTCTTCATTGTCAGATTGCGCATGGCAATCTGCTTTTTGCTTTTAAATGGTAAATCTGAGTCATTTTAAAGAAGTTATTGACATACTTGTACTGTATTTTTTCTCATGAACACATTTGCATCGAGATTTAAAAGCTAAACACAACTTCACTATCTAAAACTGAAACCAGTGATTTTATCCTACAAGATGCGCTAATCATCAGTCCAGACCATACATACAGGAAACACTACTCACTGTCTCTTTTATCTGTGTGTGTGTAAATAGAGAGAGAGCATTAGAAACACAAGCAGTTTATGCTGCCACTGCTGCAGAGATGATGCGACTGTGTTGGGCCCTAGTACTGATTTTTTCTTATTCCACTTCAGGTATGTTCATTTACTTTCCTATTCTGAGGTTTTCATTTTGTTTATGTCTGCATGAAATAACACTAGCTGAGAGAGGACTTTTTTTACCATTTCTTAATTTGTTTCTGGTTTAAATTAATGTCACATTACATTTTGATATGTGTCTAAAGTGCTTCCAGAACAACTGGTATTCAGCCACTGTTAATGCAGGTGTCTTTGACATGTCTTTAATCAGAGACTTTGTCTCTTTTATAACAGAAGGCACTATAATCATCACAGAGCCTGGTGAGAGCATCACTTTGAAGTGTTCCTCAGAAGAATGCCCCAAAAACAATGGTCGATATGCTGGGATGTATCTGTATCATAGGTTTACTGAACAGAATGAGGTGTATTACTATAGAAACCATGTAAACAGCAAAGTCGCTGTGCGATCGAAATACAAAGGCAGGATTGAGTCAAACGGAGCTCCCATGAACCACAGCATCACCATGACCAATCTGACTGTGGATGATTCTGGTGTCTACACTTGTGTCTACAAAGAATCAGTAGACAAAAGTGTTGAGTGCAAAGTCTACACAGTTTTTGTAAGAGGTGAGTGTTTTCTTCCATTTAACTCCAAAATCTTGTCCAGTAACTAAAAGACTTTAGAGGGGCTAAAGACAGTGTACTGTAAATGTACAGTACACAGTTACAAATTCAGGATGTGATTTTTACATTACAAAGTAGCAACAGTATAGGAAGTTGGTTTATATTTACCTACACAGTGGTGACATTACACATGGATGTGGTTATTTGGGCTCCAGGAAAGTCAGCTTTTTATAACCCTAAACTCCAATATGTAGTATTTTTATGAAGTATTTAGGCAGGATAGCACTCTATAAACACCACTGTTGCTGAAAAATATATTTAAGAAAGTTATTGTACCAGCAACAACTGTTTCAGTTTAATACTTTTGCACTTCTGAATCTGTAAAATATAACCTCATTTTTTAAAAAAAGTTCACTGTAAAATGTTACTAAAAACAGCACACAGTGATTTGCAAATCTCATAAACCCACATTTTATTCATAACAGAATATTTAAACTGAAAATATATACAATTTAAAGAAAAAAATTAGGTCAACACATCTACAAAACATTAGGACAGGGTCACATTTAGTACTGTGCAGCATACCTACTTTTTTTTAAACAACAGATCAGTTGCTGGACTTTTAGGAAAGTAATGTCCCATTTTTGTCCAATAGCACTCTAGCTGCTCAACAGTCCAGGGTCTTCCTTGCCATGTTTTTCTTTTTATGATGCACCAAATGTTTTCAGTTGGTGAAAGTTTGGAATACAGGCTGAAGAGCTCGGCACCGTGTTGTCCAGATTGGAACCTACTGTTTGTTGCTCTAAAACCTGCATATACCTTTCAAAATCGATGGTGCCAAATGTACAGGCTTTCAGTTCCACAGGCACTAATGCATCCTCACTAATGGTCCCTCTCTTCTTTAGTCTGAAAGAGTCCAAGTTTCCAAGAAGTATTTCAAATTTCGGGTTTTTTGTCCACAGAACAGTTTTCGACTTCATTTAAAACTAACTTTGGCCCAGAGAAGATGGCACTGTTTCTAGATCACATACACATATAGCTTCTTTGCATGATAAAGCTTTAACCTCCTTTTGAGGATGGCATGGTCAACTAACACAGGCAGTGATTTATGGCTGTGTTCCTGAAACCATGCAATGATTTCCAAGGTAAAATCATACCTGTTTTTACTGAACTACCACCTGAAGGCCCAAAGATCACTGGCATCCAATACTAATTCTCTGAATCTTTTGATATTATGTAATACAGATGATGAGATATTCAGTCTTAATGGTTTTACATTGAGGAACATTATAGTTTTTACCAATTAATGGCCCTCTGCCCATCTTTACTTCTTAGAAACTCTGCCTCGCTACAATGCTCTTTTTGTACTTTGTTATAACGCTGACTTCCTGCCAATTAACCTAATTAGCAAGAGGTGAAGTGTTCCTGCAGGGCTTTGTTTTTGCTACTACTTTATTTTACAGTCTTTTTTTGCCCTCCACCATCATTTTGAGACAAACTGCTGCCATCAAATGAAAAATGACTTAATATTTTTCATGAAAAAGTAAAATTTCACAATTTAAATATTTGACATGTTTTCTGTGTTTATGAGATTTGCAGATCATTACATTCAGTTTTAATTTACACTTTACACAACTTCTTTGGTCGTATACAAACACAGGGCTCCTGTTTAATGTGTCTTCTATATGTTTCATTACTCCAGCTTGTAAATGATGTGACCTAATCCACTTTTCTTGTCAAGGTGACATATACAAAAAATACCAATTTTCTGTTGTCCTTCCTGACTATGAAGGGTTTTGTATCAAAAAATTTTTTGCTGTTAAAGTACAGTTAAAGCTATTCTAAATTTGTATTTACATTTTTTTCCATACAGAAATAACAAACAAACCTAACAGAGAGCTCCAGACGACCACAGAGAAGAGACGTCTACCTGGTGGTAATCGTGAGCATAATACTACCGAGCATCCCAAAGGTCAGTTTGATTCTCTCAACTAACAGCCTGTCTATTAACTCCCAGTGCTGTTATCAGCCAAGTGAGGTGCACTGCATACAGATGCTTCCATTGCCACAAATTAGCTTGCACACTTTATGAAGCTATAAAAAAAAGAAGTAGCAATAACAAAGAAAACGATTTTATGTTAAGTTTTACAATTGTGATATCTCTTATGGTTGTGGTCTTCAGTAGGGCTGAACTCAACTTACAGTAGATATAAAACACAATAGACCATAATTCACAATTACTGATGTGCCATTTGGGCTTGGTGACACCCTCAACAGTAATGCTGAATAAAAGTAATATACAAGGCTATTGTTTTTTTAAACAAACAGTGACAACACAGATTTTAATTACTTTTAATTACTTTTCCTCTTCCTATATGATATACAAAGAGAAGAGCAATCTTCCTTTTATTTTTAGATGAGCTCTTCTTGAGTTTTCTTTTGGAGAATTCTGTATTACATTGCAAATTTAAAGTTAGAACAGTGTAATTAAAGGAGTGCACCAGGATGGTAAACTTCTTATGTAGCTGAATGAAGACATCACTTGTGTTTCCCTGTATTTCACACAGAACCATGTTCCAGACAAAAAGCGCTCTTGTCCACTGCAGAGGAGAGACATCTACCTCTGGTGTTAATCATCAGTATTTCCACCATCATCCTGCTGTTCATCATAATCTTAATCCTACTGATGATCCAGAAGGTGAGTTCAGTTCTTTCTACTTAAAGCTTTCTATGTAAGGTACTGTTATGTAATCCAGCCCTGCAGCTATGGTGTGCAGCAGTGGTTATCTTCTGTCTGCAGACATGTAAATGTACACATTTATTAGCCTCACCGCAACCAAGTATGACTGCTGTAAACACTGTAAACGCTCTTGCGCTGACTTGCTGATTATATCAGAAACCACTGAATTATCTGTTTGGATCTTGAAGTGCAGCTGTGAAAGGGCTGCAGCTCCTTGGAAAGTGCATCACACTGTTCACGTCTTTCGCTCTGTTAGCTCAAGATGAAAATAATTTTCTTTGTTACAAAACCCAACGTTAATAATACACTAACACACCTGTCCTCTGTAAACTCCACTTCTTAAGAACTCCACTTGGCTTTGTACCCACTGTGAGCACTGTTTTATTGTTTTACCATGTGTCAAATCATTTGTCAAAAATGAAAACTTTCTAGAAGTTAACTGGATGTACTTTTTTGAAATCTGCTTAAACCATCATACTATTTATACAGAAAACTGATACAGTGGTATTTTACTATTGACAGGCGAGAAAAATGAAAAGCCATGAAAGAAAAGCAAGACCTTCCCTGCAAGGATCCAATGATTATGTGTATGAAGTTATGATGAAGACCAACAGGTGCCCAGCAGCAGCTCCAGAGCAGCCAACACAAAACCCCTATGAGCTTGTTTAGATATGTAGTCGAATATTATTCACTTCTGGAGGGTTTCTTTTGAAGCTGTTGATGGGGTGTTTTTTCTTCTTCTTTTGTTTCACTGCTTTTGGTTGATTTTTGTTTTTGAAGTGATATAAATCACAATGATGCACTCAAAGTGACCATTCATAGTGTTGCATTGCCTCTGTTCCCTGATTATTCGAGAATTGAGAGGGCATTTGAAAAAAGCATAAATATATATTGTGATATCATAGGGATAGGTTTGGGTTGTTGCTTGTGTGGACCTAGACCTCAGACACCATAATAAACATCAGCAGCCTGATTATTCATCTGTTAGTTTAGCACAAATGAACACGTGGTGAGTGTTTCTTGTTTATGTATTATAACTTGGAGGGTGCATGCGAGGACATGTGAAACACACTTGTGGCCAAAAACCACCGAAGATGGGTGGGAGGGTGGGGATGGGGATGAGTGGTTTATATTTCTACATGCAGATATCTCACATGGTTTATTAATGTTGATTTGATAACAGTCGCATATAAATAACTGATGTAATTAGAGTTCTGAAAGTGGAGATGAGACTGGATGATAACTGGTTAGACTGTTTATTGGTAAATGGCCTGTATTTGTATAGCGCTTTTACTAGTCCCCTAGGGACCCCAAAGCGCTTTACACACCCAGTCATTTATTAGAATGGAAATAACAGACATGTTTTGAAACAGTTGTAGTTTTGTTTGTTTGTTTGTTTCTTGGCTTGTATGCTTTATTATTGTTAATTCCAAACCTTCTCCATAATTTGTGTTCTGTGCTCTGGAATATAAGAACAGTAATCTGAGGTATATAATAAAAAAACATTCAATGAAAAATATTCAATGAAACACACACAAACACACACACGCACACACATACAAACAGTATATCTGGTTTAAGTAAATGCTGCAAGATCTTTATTGTTCAAAGGGGAGAGTGTACAGTATGTTCTGGATTAAACTCATTTGTCATTGCTGTCAATAAAAACCTGCATTATGTGGTGCTTGCACTTTCATAGAGTGAAATTTGTTTTGATTTAGGGTTTTGTGAGCATATTTCCTAGGCATTGTTTCCCCACTTTTTCAGGTTACTGGGCTATTTTCAGCAGTGTCTTCTTCATATCACCTGCACTGAGAGGAATGTTTGCTTTGAGAGGAGACTTTGTCAGGAGTTGTACCTTGATAGAGTGGTGAGATTTTCAGTACGAGTCCCAGATGGGTTTAAGGTGAGGGTGGAATTACATCAGTGATTGACTCTGAGCTTCTTCTTGTTTGCAATAGTGGTGGGTAGGTTTACTGATGGGGTCAGGCTGGAGTCTCCATGAACTGATGTTTGCAAGCGACATTGTGAGAGCAGGGAGCAGGTGGATGTGTGCTCTGGAGAGAAGAGGTATAAAAGTCAGTAGAAGGAAGACAGAATACTTGTGAATGAGTGGGAGAAAGGTGTAACAACAGAGCTGCAGAAGTATAAGTAGTGAAGGTAGCTGTGTTATGTATCTGGTGCGTGCCATTCAAAACAACGGGCAATGCAGAGAGGTGAAGAAAATAATGCAGGCAGGTTGGAGTGTGTGAAGACCACTGTGAAGGGTGATTTGTGACAAAGGGATAGCATGAGGAGTGAATGTGAGACCTGCTATGGTTTGGTTTTACTGACACAAATTTGGCAAACAGTGTAATTTGTGAATATACATTTTAATGGCAGTCCCAGAGTGAAAAAAAGAATATGACCAATAAAAGCCACGATCTATTTGAACTCTTAGATTATTCATTCATTCATCAGTTAGTTTTGTTTTATTTATTTAGTCTCCTGCAGAGTAAAAGCCAGTCACATGGCTACTGATAGTCTCACTTTTAACCACAAGAGAGCAGCACTTGACAGTTTTTCTATTGTAAAACTCTTCCAGTAGGATCAGCAGGACCGGCACCACAAATACAGGAAGCCTGGATCAGCTCTGTGGTTAAAAGGTTGCAATCTCTGATCCTATGGGTCTTACCCAGAAGGAAATGCACAATTCAGATGGAGCTGATGTGGGTGGGGGGACTCGCCCAGCTCTAAATACGTTGAAGTCGGCACGTCCTCCCTGCTTCCCCTGATGAGATAAGCAAAACCTGAGTAGCCTTGCAGGTCAAATCCTACCAGTCCCACCTGTTATGACAGCTCCCCTCTAGATTGGTGCACTTCTTAATAACCTATTACAGGATATTTTATTAAAGCAGTTTGGCAGGAAAAAAAGCTAAATGAAATAAAACCAAATAATAATCAGTTAAATCACTTGAACTATGCTTATCCAATCAACTTACTCTGAGCTAATGCTGATTTTGTTTTGATCGTTTGAAGGAGAAAGGCACATCCAGGCCTAGAGATGCACTTATTTCTGTGTTCTGTGTTGACTGGGAATTCAAATGTTCTTGATTCTATAATCCAACATGACAAAAAATGAGTAGAGAAAAAGCCAAAAAAACCATACAAAACCAATTTGCAGGTTCACTGGTTGGGTTGCAGTTGATCCCTCTGGCATCTCCGCTGGAATTTACGACTGTGGACACCTTAGGTCAAATCTGCAGTACTGCAGGGTCACATTCAAACCTGTTTCATTTGCCCAAATCTGCCTGCAATGCTGTAGCAATTAGCACTGACATGGCATCTCAGATTTGAACAAGTCTAGGGGCAGCTCTGTTTAGAAAAAAAGAAAAACAACACTGCGGGGGGGTTTCCATTCAGTCGAGGTTTAGTAGCCACCGAGGGCATTGACTGATTGCAGGGAGAGTGTAGCCGAGTGGTAAATTAATAATATTTTCCATTTCAGTTAACCAAATATCCATTTAAGGTTCAAAAAGGGGTCTTAAAATGTTTTTCTTTGTTTCCATGTATGGTAAGACAAGAATGTTGTTGGGTAATTTAATGTTATTGCTTGTGCTATTCTTGGGTTATCTGCATGTTGTGTGCACTTGAAGCTGTTAATTTTATAGGTTTGTGTAGTTGCATATTGTGGTCACTGGGGGGGGGGGGGGGGCAGTGCTTAAGGGTTAACTGCAGTTTTCCAAAAAAACTTAACAAGAAATGCATCTTGGGACTTCCTGTTTACCTTTCTTTTTGTTGTGGATGTGGAACGGGAATGTTGTGAAGGAGTTAAATTGTTGGTAGGGAATTGTTAAATATGCACATAACTCATTGAAACATATTGTTATAATTGTAGTGCAGTGGCAAAACGTCAGTATTTTAACAAGATGATGTATTTCTTAAATGTATGATGCAAAGGACCTGTATGTGCAGTGTGGAGCGCCATTTTCTCCATGCAAGGGATAAGCTGCGAGATCGTCTGTGTGCTGCAGTATTGCAAGTGAGCTGAGATTTCTGTGGAATGTAAGTATTTATAAAAATGTATGTAACACTTCCACATTTTTTAAAGGAGCCTTGTGTGATTTAGTTCTTTGTATTTTGTTCTGCACAGACAGGGGCCACTGCCGTATTTTTGTTTTTTGTATTTCATTTCATTTATTTTATTCCTCGTATTGTATTGGCGCATCTTTGTTTAATCGGTTATTCTGTTACTTTGCCACGTTACCTCTCGTGCTGTCGATGTTCAGTACAAGTCCATATGGCCGCTGTTTGACAAAAGTAAAGGTCAAAGGACATTTTTTTACACTGATACTGTAAACTGTTGTTTGTGTGTCAGGTTTCCATACATCGGAAACAGCTGCTGCATCTGTAATTCTGTCCATCTTGAGGAGAGTCCACACTCTACATCAGATCCTTGGCTCACCTATAATGACGCACAGGTGCTGCACACAACTGTATATTGTAGTGATGCAGTATACTGTGTATATTTATACTGGCAGTATGGAAAATGATTATTTGGAAATGCTTAAAATGGAAATGATCATTTACTGTGAGGTGAGGTGTGGTTGGGGTGTGGACAGTGGTTGTGCTTTTGTAACGTTGAGGTATGGACAGCTACACTGTGAGAGCAGCTAAGAAGGTCATTGGAGCCCCTCTCCCCTCCTTATAACACCCGCTTGCTGGAGGACCCCACACAGCCTTCAAACACACTCTTCACCCTGCTGCCTTCTGGAAAGAGGTCCCACAACATCCGGGCCCTCGCTACCAAACTACGGAAAAGTTTCTTCCCACAAGCCGTCAGACCCCTGAACACTCAGTGACTGCACTGGCACACGCACACCTTCACACATGTCACTACCAAGCACTTATCTGCAGTATCTCACACTCATACACATACATACAGACACCAAGTTACTTTTGCACAATACTCAGCATTTTGCACATTTCCATTGTCTTGTGTCTGTTTCGTCCTGTTCTGTCACGTTTTGCACTGTTTTGTCTTGTTTATTTTTGCAATTTATGCACACTGCACTTTATGTAGTCCTGGGTTTGTCCGTATATGTCATATATAGCACCAGGGTCTCGGAGGAACGCTGTCTCGTTTCACTCTGTACAGCACCTCTGCACGTGGTTAAAATGACAATAAAAGCCACTTGACTTGACCTGTTTTGTGTAGCAGTTGCTTGGAGACGAGCACCATACAGTTCAAATGAGCATACATTCCAAAATATGCAAATTTGCCCCATACATCATAATGATGATGTTTGCTGTTCAGGGTATGAACGTTCTATGCTGAAAGTTTATAAATATACAACCTTTGACTGCTTGTTTTCAGTTGAACTTTTGCAAAGCTGAGGAGATTTTGGCTGCGATCACATCAAGTCCAAAGATGTTTAAACTTCTTTTTCACAGAAAGGTAAGTTTGAAGAGACTCGCAGCACATTTCTATGAATATTTTCTTATGGTAAACAAGCATTTTTGAAACTTTTAAGGAAGCTTCTTGGATGATTTCTGTAAAAACTGAATTTTGAATCCAAATGAAGGATTTTGTATTTTCATACCATATACTTTGTTTTATGCCATTACTGATGTTGGTTTTCTTGTTCTAAACAGAAATCACACAAACAAAACGTGGCAGAGAAGGAAATTCCTTCTACGTCTCATCAGAGGTAAAGAAATGCGCCAGTCTTTAATGCTGCTGGAGATATTTATAGCAGTGGTTGAGTTGGAGCTCTTTTATTTCCCTTTTATTGGTGTTTTGTATTTACATCTTTTTTACTACTTCTAGTCTTGTCTATAATTTATATTGATTCAGAGATTAGCGTTTGAAAATGTAGAGTGTAAATGTACAAAATACATGATTTTGTTCCATTACAGTTATTAATTTTTATCTGCAATCTCCAGCATGTACTCCTTGTTAAAAATTTGCACTTTGAAAAATAACATTTACACTTTTGTCCTCATCAGCATCCCGGATGCTCCTGTTACTGAAAATGGTCAAAAGAAGAAGAGAAAATGGAGACACCTCTGCTGTTCCTCGGTTTGCTTTTACACAAAACATATGAAATGCACATTCTCTTTAAATTGCACTTGTTAATTTAAAGTGACTTTACTTTTTAATAAACGTATGTTTGTTCGTCCTCTGCAGCAAACTGACAGCGATGCAGAGGCAGAGAGCAACACTGTGAAGACACAAAAAAAAGTGTCGCTGGTTTCTTTTTAAATTCTGGAAGGTATGTTTTATGGAAAGAGTCACTGTCATCAAGCATTTACTCATCACAGTTAAATGAGAAGAATTAAGAGCAATTTAGCACACAGCCATGTCCTCAAATTAAGTTCAAAGATGTTTAAACGTTTTTTTTTCACAGAAAGGTAAGTTCGAAGAGACTTGCAGGATGTTTCTCTAAATATTTTTTATGGTGAATAAGCATTTTTGAAGCTTCATGGATGATTTCTGTAAAAACTGAATTTTGATCAGAACCAAATGAAGGATTTGTATTTCATAGGACAAACTTTAAAACTCAATTTAAGGCATGAATAAATTGTTTTTTATTTTATTAAAGAATTCCTATATCTGCTTCATGAGCTGACAGCTCACTAAAGTGATAAATAATATGAATAATACCAAATCTCTAACTGGACACTTTTCATGGAGAGACCCACTTGGTATGTTTGTTTATGCCATTACTGATGTTGCTTTTCTTGTTTCTAAACAGAAATTACACAAACAAAACGTGGCAGAGAAGGAAATTCCTTCTACGTCTCATCAGAGGTAAAGAAATGCGCCAGTCTTTAATGCTGCTGGAGATATTTATAGCAGTGGTTGAGTTGGAGCTCTTTTATTTCCCTTTTATTGGCATTTTTCTTCCACCTTGTGTATTTACATCTTTTTTACTCCTTCTAGTCTTGTCTATTATTTATATGATGCAGAGATTAGCGTTTGAAAATGTAGAGTGTAAATGTATAAAATACATGATTTTGTTCATGTTGGTATTCCATTACAGTTATTCACTTTTATTAGCAATCTGTATTAGCAAAATGTACTCCTTCTTATAAATTTCCACAACATTTACACTTTTGTCCTCATCAGCATCCCGGATGCTTCTGTTGCTGCCACACCAGCTAAACCCTGAAAATGGTCAAAAGAAGAGAAAATGGAGACACATCTTCTGCTGTTCCTCGGTTTGCTTTACACAAAACATATGAAATACACATTCTCTTTAAAATGTACTTTTTAATAAACTTATGTTTGTTCGTCCTCTGCAGCAAACTGACAGCGATGTAGAGGCAGAGAGCAACACTGTGAAGACTCTTTTTAAATCCGGGAAGGTATGTTTTATGGAAAGATCACTGTCATCAAGCATTTACTCATCACAGTTAAATGAGAGCAATTAAGAGCAATGAGGCACACAGCTATGTCCTATATATTTATATCAGGTAAGAAGCACCACGGAAACGATCCAGCAGACCTGAGTTGGGACACTTGGATTATGGAGCTTCTGGACCAAGAGAGTGGATGGGAGCATGTGTTTAACAGGTAAGAGAAAGACGTCCTCCAAAAATGTTTCAACTTCAAAGCTCATGCATCCATGCACATACACTGCTCAGCATCTGACATCTTTCCTAATTTTGTGTTTGTGTTTTTACCTTTTTGGAGCAGTGTAGCATGCGGTGGAGAAATAATAGAAGTCAAACTGGGACTATAGACTGCTTCGGGTGAGTACACGTGGTGCACAAAGACCAAAGCTCACTTTGTCAAAGTGGAGAAAATGAATTCTTTTACACTGATACTGTAAACGTTGTGCGTGTGTGTCAGGTTTCCAAACATCGGAAACACCTGTACATGAACTCCCTGCCTGCAGAGCCTCCTCAACATTGAGGAGTTCATAAGAGACATCAGGCGTCAGGAGGTTTTGTGGAGCACAGATCCAGAAGCTCAGCTCTTAAGGTGCGCTACGTCAACCTTCTACTTTCTTCAAAAACCTGAAGAACAAAGAGATCTAACAGCAGAAATGTCTGTTTACCCTTTCCTTTCTACAGAAGGCTCATTGATGTCAGGGACTGTCATGAGTCACAGATTATGGCCTTAAAGATCACCACCTAAGAGCTTTTAAGAAGGCATTCAGCAGTCAGCTCCTGAATACACCGGCAGTGCACAGAAAGTGCGTCAGCTATTTGGACATTTTGTTTTTTTGCTTTACCTTCTGATTTTGATGTACTGTTTTAAATCTCTCTGCTTTTCTTTCAGGACGCTCATGAATTCCTAACATTGTTCCTCAATGAGGTCAAAAGGCTCGCACCTCACCTGGAGAGGAACGCAGCTCTTCCTGGGCCAAAGTATACCTGCCCAGTAGAAGAGCATCACATTTTTAAAATGGAAACATGAGGACATGCAAGAGGTAGCCTGTCTTTCAGAAACGCAGAGCTGGTTGCAATATTTTCATATACCTCTTTTCCACTACCTGATCTTTACTTTAACTACGTTACTCCTGAAATGTGTAGCTGTGGTCACCAATCATCACAGCACGAGGACTTCACCAGCTTGTCTCTTGACCTTGTTCCAGAGGGGTCTATTATAACATGTTAGAGACATACTTGAAGGTAAGATCACAATTCCAATAGAGTTGTAGTGTCAGCGATCTTAACACACTTTTTTGTTAGTGTTTGTGCGTATGTGTGTGTGCATATGTTGAGATTTCTTTCACCATAAAGCCTGTTTTCTCTGTGCTGTTGTTCAGGAACAAGAAATAGATTCGCTGTGATTGTGGAGGGACGGCCTCAGAACTGAAGTCGTCTTTTGATACAATGCCAAGGTGAGTAAGGTCACATCAGAAGTGATCGACTGACCAGGTTTCCAATGTGGCGCATCAAATATCAGAGTTTTTCGAGACAATACTGAGCAGTCGTTTTCTCCCATCTTCTGTTTGTGTTTGACACTCATTCTTTTATTTCTACTTGTTTGTGTTTTTTTTTTTTTCTTTTCTGCCAGAGTCCTGATCTTGCATCTGAAAGAGTTTGGCTTTACACAACCTACAACATTAAGAAGGTGGATGACCCCGTCAGGCTGCAGAGGGACTTGGTGGTGCCATCCATCAGGTAAAACAGACTGCAGAAGTCTCAGGCTACGTCACACTAGCCCTGATAGATTTGAAAAACTCCGTGTCCACACTAGTGTTTTCAGTCGTTTTCAATAGTTGTGCGTCTGCATTGAAACGGCGAAAACGCTTACGTTCCAGTCCTGCGCATGCGCAAAAGTGAGTGAGGATTACAGAATTTGAAGAAAGCTATCCGGAGCATGTACAACTGATATTAATCTTTTTTAGGCTGTCAAAGTTGAGAGCAATCAAACAACGCTGTAAATGCACTCGGCTATCTTTGTTTAATTGCTACATGACTGCATCACATGGCTAAAATGCTCATCGTTTTAGAAGTCTGCGTTTTCGAGTGTCCACACTGCGACGGGACACTCGTTTGAAATGTGTGCGTTTTCGAGAGCGTTTTCAAGATGCTGTGTTTTTCCTTGAGGAAAACGCCGTCTCAGTGTGGACGGGAGGTCAAAGCGGAGAGAAAACGATGTGTTTTCAAACGAAAACGCATTAGTGTGGACGTAGCCTCAGCAAATCAGCTTAATTATGGCTCTGATGTGAGACTTTGAAACTAACACTCTTTGGATTTGTTCCTTCTCAGGGTGGTGGCTGTTATAGTCTTGTCAGCATCATCAGTCATTATGGAGGCACAGAGTCAGGTAAAACAACAGACTTGTTACAAACAGAAAATGAAAACTTTCTACTTTTCAGTGAAGGACTCACACACAAAAGCTTTTGATGTTCTAAGAAGCACTAAGTCAAAATCACTGTTTGCTTGAATCAGTTGACTTCCAGAAGTTGGATTCATTTGTCTTAATGTGATTTCAGGACACTACATCTGTAGTTCTGTCCATCCTGAGGAGAGTCAGCACTCTACATCAGATCGCTGGCTCACCTATAATGACGCACAGGTGCTCCACACAACCGGATCGGCAGCTTGTGAGGAACAGCAGCACTCGGCCTACATGCTGTTTTACAAGAGAAACGTAAGAAGACACAGCATCTCATCCTGAAGTGAGAGAATTTTTAAATGTCCTGTTACCTTGTTAACCAGTTTTGTCTTCATTCTCAGTTCTGAAACAGGAAATGGAAGGAAGGTCATCATCATGCTGAGAA